AATCCAACCATGGAAGATATTTGTAATGGAAGGTCATTTGGACTCTTAAATTTGTGCCGTTTTTTCAACTCACATCAAATTGGAAATAAGTAGAGTTATTAACTATTCGTGTTATTAGGCATTCTACTCATGCAGGGCAAAAGTATCAAAGTGCTAAAGTAATCTTGATTTGCAGCTATTTTGGTGCTCGTCCCTTAGGATTTTTAAACGATTTTTCAATATCTCACCTAGCCTCTAGAAGTCAAGCACCCTTAACCACTACTGCCTCTATTCATACTCATTGTTACTGATGACACATTATTCATTGAATTAACGAATAAACTAAGTAAAGCAACTTTGAGTGCCATCATTGGTTAATTATAAGCCTTAATACCAGACTAATGAAAGTCAGTACAGTGATTTTTTCAATAAACAAACTTTACGATCTCTTTTTTGTAAAACGTATTACTGAATATAGGTGAATGATGTTTTCTACATAGATCAATTCGATGGTAATGCGCATATTCGTGGGACCCTGCACCTGACTCTAACACACATATTGTTCCTTGGATTATCTAGAAAACAAGAAATATGGGTAATTTTTGTTCTTGTTAATTTGTTATTCAGTCATATGGTGTGTATACTATTGAGCACAAACTTTTTTGTCTGTACTTTGCTGAAACCGTAATCCACACATAAATACCAGTGTTATTTCATAAGAATAACTCCAACCATTAAGCTTTTAAAATGTCGTTCCTCTCTGAAAATGTTATCACTACGTTAATAGGTTTTGAGACTGATGTTAATTGAAACTAGTCATTTTCCTCCTCTCACTCAGTATATGTGATGGTTAAAAGTTTTAACTAACAAAAACTATTCAAACTGATTTAGAAAATAAAACTTGAATTTTTGACAAAAGCGACTTTTATCTGAACTAGTCTTTGATTCAGAGATAATGACAGACAGATCATTAAATGATTAAGGTGACTTGAAACAAAATGTATTCATGACCTAGTGGAAACGTACTCTCTAATGACATTTAACTGTTTTTTTGTTGCTAATCATGTGTTTTGTGTTTATTTTGTTGAGCTACCGAATCAACTGGTTTCTTCAGTTGAACGCTTACCATTAACTACCGGTGGTGCACCTCTGATTATACGTGGGAAAGATTTCCGTGTAATTCGTTTGATTGTCCTAAAAGAACGAAATTGTCATGATGTGTACATAACGTTGACACGATTACTTCATGTTGGTAAGTGCAAAGCTCGGGAATGAAATATAAACAACGTTATACGAAACCCTTCATTTTTTAAATGTTATCTTTTAGTACTTTTGATTTTCATGAACTTCATTTAGCAGATGCTGTTTTTAATTCGCTGAGTCAACCTGAATGATAAATCCGAAGTTAAATATCTGATAATTAATTGTTGAAAATTTTTAATTACATTATTAGTTATACTGAGATAGCTCTGATTGGCATGCTAAATAAGTTGGACAGTTTAATCGGCGTTGCTAGTTCAGACTCTGTGGAAATTTAAGTCCTGTGGTTTGATCTACTATCTCCTAGACACAATTCGTTCTCGTTGTAACTCAAAGTTCAGTGTATCGTTTTAGTTAAAGCATACTAAATGGTTTATATAAAAGCTAGAAATTCAACATGGGAAAATGGCTACATTTGTGGGATATTTCTGATTTCTTTTTCCATTTATTGTGTATCGATTAGATGGTTTTAACGAAGATGCTGGTTAGTTCATTTATTCATCTAGGTTCGTTAGTGTATTTCAGTTGCAATTCCAATTACATCTCTGTGCTGATGTGGTATGTCGACATGAACTGATGTACTTACGTACCAAGTTCTACGTTGCATCTGACTGAATCGCAATTCACTTGACGTATTATGTAAACAAAGTCTATTTAGCTACTGAATAATATATATATATATATATATATATATATATATATATATAAATGTATACATCACTTCTGATTGGTTCTCTGTGTTGAAATGTGTCTAGCAACGGAATGCTCATTAGAATGTAATTAAGAAGTAATTTCCATTTGGAGTTACCATCGTTTAAAAGCATCACTAAAAAGCTAGTGGAAGACATTGAACAGATGTTTCACTCTAGTTTTAAGACTTCGCTGCAACGGTGCTCACTGATGGTGACTTCACATACAAGATCCAGTCGAGAACATTCAATTCTCGCGACTGTTTATTTATTCTTTGATTACTGTTTTGTGGATCGAAACCTATTTGTCCCCTGTATTCCCCTATCTCTTCCGTTTTTTGAAACGGATTTTATTGTGTAGCACATGTATCCGAACTCCCGTGTTATCGGTTTGTTCCACCTGATTGTTACTGGTCTCGAGAAGAAGGCTGGTCATCATTTTCGCTGGAATCTCAATATAGCCGATTTGGATTGCCTAATTCTCTTTGGAGTTCAACTTCCGTCAATAAGAATTTTGAGGTTAGTTATATAAAATATATGGTTGTGCCTAATATTCTTACAGTTCTGTTAGAATTGAGACCTGTAGAATACACCAGAAGAAAGGCAATAATCAACAGTCATAGGTTTCGCAAAGCACATGACAAATTCACAAAATACAAGTCAATCATAGAGAGTAAAATGACCAGTCACATAAAAGGGATTTAGTTATGGGAAGTTTTTATTGTTTCTGATTTTGTACAGTTCCCAATTTGTTTCATTACTGACAGTGTACTGAATCAATGAATGACATACATTAAATCATTGGTCATTTTAACGAAAATAAACGAATATGGAAATTATTATTAGAGATGGATATTAGCTAGCAGTCGAATCCAGGATGTACAGTTCACCTCATTTGGGACTCGTCTGCTGGACGTATCAGCATCTCAGAGTTGATCACTCCATGACTCTAACCACAGTGCCTTTCGCTTCAAACTCTATCGCGTTTTCTGCTTAACTACTGAATCCATATAGCCATTCGCTTGTGCAATAGGGTGAAAATTAACTCATTTGTATTGGTTAAACCTTCGCGTTGATGTTTAGTACTGCAATTGATCAGTTTTTTGGCATACTTACATCCTCTGCGGATTGCCTCGATATTGCCTTTAGGTTACAAGCATTATTAGCAGAGGCGGATAATGGTTAGCTGTAGAATCCAGGATGCACGTTTCGTCCTATCAAGAATTTCTTATACCTCAGATGTTGGATAAAATAGTTATTCACAAGTCAATGAAATTAAGGCATAACTCTGAAGCCTAGTTATTGCTCATTATCTCAATTTAAAAAATACTCATATTAGATTCTATATTTTGATCTTTCATAAATTATGTACAACAAACCTCTCAAACACTTGGGTGAAGCGTCACACCTATCGTGGACGCATGTGTGTGTTCCGAGGAACAAGCGGTTATGCAGGAATAAAAACTAAATATGATTATCAAATTATAACATAATAATTCAATTACTAAACCATCAGTTTTCAGTTTGTAAGCGTTTAAAATGCATCTTTATTAAACTAGTTTTAAACAGTTACACAAAATATCACTAGGCTGTTAGAGAACAAATTAAGTCAACGTGTTACTTTGCCTCCTATATGAAGTTACTAAAATACATTTAATGCATGGAATCAGAGTAACTGAAGTAGAGAAATAATAGAATATCCATTTGAATTGAGAGAGTTAATATGTGTTCTTGATTAGACTACTGATTAACACTTATCTAACTCACTAAGTGATAAGTATTATTTAACACAACGACATCCTTGCTTATAATTGGCAACCAGCCTCTACCATATTTTCATTTCAAGTAAAATCTCTATACTGACATAGCAGACCGAATCACACCATAATGTGAAAAATACTGATGATTAATAAACAGCCAAAAAGCTTTTGTGAATAGGAGAAACTTTAAATGATTGACTGAAAACAAATTAGGAACAGTAAATCGTATAAAACTGATCAGTGAGTCAAACGAGACCTCATGGTTAGCTTCACATAAATCAATCCAGTTACTTAATTATTATTCAATGAGAATATACACAATGGTAGGTAACCCACCAAATTATTTTGGGAGTTACTATTTCTTCAGTCTTCTTTCTGATACATCAACAAATGTGTATTTTAAATCTATCCCTGTTGCATGTAATGCATTTTCATATAGATATGTGATACTTATCCAACTGTGTTGTATGTTCCAAGTATGATATCAGAGAATATTTTGTATGGAAGTTCACGTTTTCGCAGCCGTGGTCGATTTCCTGTCTTAACTTATTTACATCCGAATGGAAAGGTTAGTTGGTCTTGTTTGTTTGCTTACTTGTTTCCTCCTTTTTGTTTGAAACAATGTTTTTTATTCCCTTCCTATTTGTTCTTTTTTCCGAATAATTGGGACGAGTACTTGTATTGATTTACTCGACATTTCCTCTTCTCAGTTCTCTGTCTCATATGCTAAAAAGCTACTGCAATTAGGTAAACCACTTACTCGCTCCACTTTCACCCACCCATCTCGATCGCATGTAAGATTATTTGTTACTATCTCGTTCATTTCTAATTTTTTGCCGTCTCTAACCTAGATTCATGTAATTCGTGTTAGCCCGTTCTCTACTGTGTTTGGACCGTTACGTAGCCGATACTTCTAAAACCGCTGTTATTACTGTTGAAGTAACCACATGCTTTTCTAATGCATCATTAGCAAAATACTTACCTTTTTGTCAACTTTGAACAAGTAAAAAAGGTTCAGTCCTTACTGTATACCGTAATTAACATGTACTACCATTGCGACACATGTTTCCATACACAAGTGAACTGTCATTGGATTTCCGCTGGCACAGATGACAATTTTCTTTAATAATCCAACGTTTTGTAAATAATTCGTAATATCCTCCTCACCCAAACTTGTCATTGTGCAATCAACTGTCAAAATTACGCCTTACTACGTTTAATTAAACATCAACGTGGATTGATATACACTTTATAACCTTGAAGTAGCTTTCTCATATTTAATCGGTTCAACAGCATACTTTGGGATTATAAACAAAACTTTCAAAAGAGCTTCAGTACATCCAAAATAATTTAAAATATATAATGCAATAATTTTGTTTATACAGTGACAGTAATCGCCTTATGGCATCTAAAAAACAGTCAGCTAAAAGATGATGTGCGGCCTATGCTCCATTGGGGGTAACAGGCGTAAGTAAGTAAGTAAAAGATGATGTAACCAACCGGAGAACAGCAAAGCTCAGCGATGTTATATGTATTGAAGGTTATCGAGGAACTTGCTTATTTGAAAGAAGCGCATTTTTTTCATGAATAATTTTCGATCACCTCATCACTTACTTAAGTATACTAGTGTAACAAACAGCACAAGTCGAAATTGAACGTACATTAAATTCTAACTTATCAACCAACAACATAAAATGCTGTTTTTTAATAATCTAAATTATTTCATATTATAGAGTGTATTCAGTTGATTAATTCATGTACACAGCCTTAAACCACATACTTTAGTTTTGGTTAGGGCTACCAATGTTGATGGAACGGTGTTCGAAACTAGGACATACGAGTTAAAAACTGAGTAAGGTACAACTTTAGTCAACAAGTTCGCCACTCCATCGAACTATGTCCAACAGTCTAATTGTTCAATTTTCTATATTTTTTCCTCATACAACTATATCTAGTCAGCTTTATGTCGAAGTAGTCAACCATTAGCTGGTTTTTCATCAAAATCAACTGAAGATCAAGTACTTTTAGAAGCTATACGTAATTCAAATCCTGATTCGAATTTATTATATATTGTTGATACACGACCAGCAATTAATGCATTGACTAATCGTGCACAAGGCAAAGGTTATGAAGATACAAATGTTTATCGTAATGTTGTCATACAATTTTTTGACATAGAAAACATTCATGTTGTTCGTTCATCATTAGAAAAATTATTAAAAGGTATGTATACTGATAAACATGCGTTTCATACGTTAATTTATCTTTTTGTATGATATCTATTTCAATATTGACATATTTCATCATAATGGGCTATAAACTGTTGCTATGGTCGCCACTGAGATATCTCGTATTAAGCATATTGTGAGATAATCAAAGGTTATCTACTTCTCATTAACAAGTCATGTGATACAACGCTTCATTCTCTCAAGTTTGAAGATACACCTTGCTGAAAAGTTGTCAACAGTGATAACACTGAACATTCTAGCAAAGTAGGATTTCTTACTAGTTATCTCTAGCACTATCTCACATCAAAAAGGTACATCACCGCTGTTAATCTTGATTGATAAGAATGAATCAACCAATGGTATTTGATTTAAACCTGTATCACTTAAGACTCATTTAGTCTCAAACTGGTTATTGTTATAATTATCGTTTTTATTTAACTACCGTTAATCACTTTGCACCAGCCTTTTAAACAAACACGAAACCCAATTATCGACTCATTGTTTCTTGTGTCCGTGCTACTGTTCTTTAGAGGTCTGTCGATTGTCCCTTTCCTAATTGACTACTATTTTGCGTTGTTGTATTAATTATATTGATTTTTATTTTGAAAATAGTTTATAATTTATCTGTAGACAAAATAAATGCTGCAGTCACCACGATATCTTATAACCGAAACTAATGGTGGAGACTAGTAATCGGTAGAATTCAAGTAACTGTAAGAAATAAATGATGACATGACATTACTCACACCAATATATGATCAATTAAGATAGTTCATGCTTTAGTTCGGTAAATAAGAGATCCGTATAATTGTACATACATTGGAGCAGTCACACATCGACTATATGTTAAGTCAAGATATAGTATCCATTTCGAAGAAGTCAGACAAGTCATTTAATTATATATGGATGAATGAGTATTCAGTTTTTCATTGATCTGGTTAGTTAATAAAGACTTCCTTCTCACTCGAGTCGCTGGCTATGATCGTGCATAAAAATCAGTATCAGGATCGGATATCGCACTGCTGATGAGTCCCATACCAAGATGAAAAGACCGTCCAGTGCTTCCAAGTTTCTAATGGTGATCTACCAGTGATTGATTGATGATTTCAACGTGTAAAAACACTGATCTCCATAATTCTAACTGAAAAAAATTATATAATATCTGGTGGTGATAATGATGAATCGGTCCTTGAGTTGATGAAGTATAAAAAAATATCTTACAAGATGATATTCCATGATATTATAGGGCTGAGTGGTAGCTGTCCACGAAACCTCGTTATTGACACAAGCCTCCAAATGAAGAAAAAACACTTATCCAATGACGGATAAATGCTTATTTATAACAACATTAACTATGAAAGTGGAGACTCACTGGCTATCATAGGACTGTTTCTTTTAGCGTTACTCCACTATATGATGGGTTAGCACTATATATCAAAGGTTCAGGAAGTTTCCTACTAAAGAAGCCATCTGCTTCGGTTTGTGTACTCCGACAGTACCCCTCCCACACATTGATTTGTATGGCGCATTTATATTCTGGTGCTCCTTTATACTAATGTTTATGTGCTTAAATAAATAAATAAAATAGACTTGTCAAATAGGTTACAAAAATAAAGATTGTTGTTGATTGTTGTGATTTATACTAAACCCTTGTACTAAGCTTTCAACTCCACTTAAGCGATCTACCCGGCTATTCAAATCAAAAATGACTCAAATTCTCAATAAATCAAACTGTTTAGGTTACTGTTGCGCAGTTTTAATTATTCCTGATTGTTAACTAAACGAAAATGTAAATAATCAAGAAATTATGAATAAAAATAAGTCAGTTATCGACCATGATTATCCTTATTAAGATTATGAACAAATGGCTTAATTTTCTATATGATGTAATCTAAACGGTGTTATATGTCAGGTCTGCGGTCTTGTGCATCGAACACTTATATTTAGAAAGATTACGTTAAGTTAAGAATAGACTAAAGTTTGATGTATCGACCAATATATGCCAACTTAATAGTCTAGAGATAACTTTCCGCTTTGTGTAGTAGCAATTCGGTAATTAAGTCGTTTACAGGGACTAATTGTTTTAAGTCGTTTACCTTTTAACCACTAAGTTGTTCATTCAATCCCCGCTCAATCTATTTCAGTTACAACAATCGGGTACTATCATTAGTATCATACAGTTTTGCCCAAGTCATGTACATGAATCCGTAAGTGGTAAACAAATGAGGTCCGTTTTCCATAGGGCATCAAATATCTTAAGTATCGACTCTTGGTTTAAATTATTTCATATCATAACAAACCAATCGTTAAACGGCCCATGATTTTCATTGATTGTCTTCTGGAAGTCAGTTTTTATATGGTAAACAACTGCATTCAAATTGAACACTCTTTACAAATCTCTCACCATACATTTAAAAAATTGTCGTAGTTCTGAACAGTTTTTATATTAATTTACTTGTATAACCTCGTTAAATCTGGTACCACAGAGCATCAAACACTAGAATGCGTCACACTAAATATAGATAATATTGCAAAGAAAAGAAAGAAAGGAATAATAAATAAAATATAGTCAAAAAGAACAGTTTATAGAAGACAAGCTATCCAGTTAAAGAAGTCGTACTTATATTTATGAAGAGTGTAAAAGAATATTACACCAGTATCGCTATTGGTTTCTGTTCTCATCCATGTTTAGTAACAGTGCAAACTATTGACTTATATCATCTCTAGGATCCCAATCAGGCAGTCTCAATGAACTGATATGATCGAGTCCTATACAGCTTTCTTTAATACCACTGTGCCAAGTGATAAACTGAACACCTACAGTTTTTTCACCCCATCCCATAGCTGCGAATCATGCACGATTTGGAAGTCACTAGAATAACATTTATTAACTATATCCAAACCACCACAACCAGTGATTCGAGATGGTGACTCCGATTGGTTTTTTATCATTGAACCTGAACACATCACATTACTGATAGTATTGCTAATGAATGTTAGCACTTTCTCAGGAACAACGATAATCGAATGAAGAGATATTTTTCTATGTTCCTCAACTTGGAGAGACCAAGTTTTACTAACATTGAGTAAAACTGCTTTTTTTCTTCAAATATTCACAATTCAAGTGTTTTGGAAGGAAACACGAATTTTATTTTTACGTGTCCTGTGCTGAATATTCTGTACTTTAATCCAAACATGTAAAACTGAATAAAGTGAGTACTATTAGCAATATTATTCTTTTATTTCCTTTTCAATATAGTCTGTTGTAACCCAACAGTCAATTTGGAACAATTTACTTCTGGTTTAAATAAATCCGGTTGGTTAAAACATTTACATGCTATATTAGAAGCATCTTATTTTGTCGCGAAACGATTAGATGAAGGCAATTCTGTTCTTGTACATTGTTCCGATGGATGGGATCGTACTGCTCAAGTTTGTTCTTTAGCTCAAATTATATTAGATCCGTATTATAGAACATTTCTAGGATTACAAGTGAGTTTTAAGTGTATATATATATATATATATATATATATATATATATATATATATATATAAGATTACTTGATCAATATTGTGTAAATTGGTTAGCTATCAAGAAATAAGTTAAATTCATAAGATGTTAGACAAAACCGTCCTACATCACTTCATTCCCAGGATCTTAAGAAAAACAAAGTCAAATTTACAACCGTCAAATTACATAGCGTAAATCGTGTTCATTTAGTGCGATGATAAGAAAAGTGTATATTTGAAGTATTTATTTAGTCTGGATTCATTCCACAAACATGTATTCTAAGAGCTGATGACTTATACTGCCCAGCAAATTATCAAACTGAAAGTAGAAATAATCATATAAAACTTTCAGACTTTCTTGCTGAAATTGAAGCCGCTAGTGGAATCACATCTGCATTTGTAGGTAGTGTAGGGTTGGGTACTAGGTGACCATGAATAATGACCATATATATATATATATATATATATATATATATATATATATATAATATACTTTCTATTATTAGGCTTTAATTGAAAAAGACTGGATACAATTCGGTTATAAATTCACTGAACGATGCGGTTTAGTGTCAAATGTTGATCCGCGTGAAATTTCTCCAATATTCACACAATTTCTTGATTGTTTACGACATTTGCTAGAAATTTGCCCAACTAAATTTGAGTATAACATTAAATTATTAAAGCACTTACATGATCAAATTTATTCAGCTGTTTATGGAACATTTATTGGATGTAGTGAAAAAGAGAGAATCGGTTTAGAGTAAGTTAGTTGTTTTCCGTAAAATTTTTAAAATTCATTTACACTGTGTGTGGATCTGTTAGTGACACTACCAGCCGGTTTTCTGAATTAAAATAGGATGTGAAGAGTCCGATACTTGGACTTGATGACTGAGAATTGAACACCTTAATTACACAGTGACTTTCACCAATACTTTGTTCACCATTAGGTAGCCGTAGTCAGTCTAGGATCTGACATTGATGTGTACTTCGGATCAAGTTGGCGAAATTACATCAACACGGAGAGATATAGATGAATCAAATACCTATTATAATACTTGTATTACTAATGATAGTGTCTATGTTTGTGGAAAATACCAAATGTATAAAACAACATAATTTGAAAGGATTAAATAAGTTCAAGGCATAAGAATGTATGAAGTGTAAAGTGGTGATTGAAGGTTGTCAACAGGAAATCGTATCAGTTAGGTATACCTTTCATCTTAAAAGAACTGGTTTCTCCCTGACGAATTTGACTCCGTGTCACTCAGTTTCATAGTTACCATTGAGATTTCAGACCTTCAGTCGACCTATGGAACTGGGATCTGTTTATAATTCCTATCCATAGGATTCGATCAATACTAAGAATGACGTGATGTACATGGCTTTGATCATTTCTCAGTGATCGATCAATTTTTAATTACGAATTAGTAATAGATTTCGAGATCCATTTAAAAATATGAACTTAACGGATTTGCATTACTTTGACCAATGTTGTACCTTAACACTGAAGTCTTCAACAATAGAACCTGGTTGTCGTGCGGGGTACCAACCAGACCGAAGTGTCAATCTCCTTACATGGCTTCAGTTTAGCAGTTTGTGTTATATATTTCGATTTAACCATCTATTGTCTCTGGAGGCCTCCATTGAGTCGTAACTTACTTCAACTGCTCTGACTGGTTCTTCAGTAACCGCTCAAACGAGAGTTTCTGTGTTTAAATGGTTTAGTTCAATAAGATTTGTATTTCTTCTACCTGCATCCTTAACTTGGGCTGTATTATGTATATTTTTTTACCGTAGAGTTCAAAAACGTACCTACTCTTTATGGAGTTGTTTAAATCGATATCGTGACAAATGGATCAATCCATTTTATGAACATAATTATGTATGGACAGATTTTTCTACTAGCAGTAACTCGGATTACAATAAACCATCTTATTTTGAAACTGATGAATTAATTACTGCCGGAATTGAATTGATTGATGATGGTAAAGGAAATAGTCGATATGCAGCGGATATGTTACCTGCACATATTCTGTGTGCACCATTATTTCGGTAAGTAAAAGTTTGTTTATTCATTTCTGTGATAGGTAAAGATTGTTTACGATTTTTTGTTATTGTTAAACATTCTTAAACGTTTTAAAAAACGAGGAACAACACCTGATGACTATCTTCCAAAAGAACGGCTATCCACGCAACTTCATCAAAAAACATCAACCAAAACCATCATCAGAAGTGAAATCAAGCACAGGAACAAATAAACGCATCATCCTACCATACATCAAAGACATATCGGAACATACGGCACGACTACTGAAACCATTTGGAATAGGTGTGGCACACAAACCAACAGAATCACTTCAGTCAATCCTATGTAGACCAAAGGACGAAATGACAAAGGAAGAAAAACCAAATATCATCTACAAAATAAATTGCTCAAACTGTGAAAAACACTACATAGGACAAAGTGGACGACCTCTTCAGCTCCGTTTACGTGAACATCAATTAGCAGTCAAACGCCACGACAACGCTTCGCTTATCTCAATACATACCGACAACTATGGACACACATTTGATTGGAACAACGTGGAAATACTGGGTAGGGGGAGGACAAAGAACACTAGAGAATTTTTAGAAGCTTGGCACTCAGGTCAATTAGCAATCAACAAACACATCGACATTGACCCAATTTATCAACCAATCAGGAGAATCATAGGTGACACTGGATCAAGAAACAGATCAAAAGAGGGAGGCAATCAAAACATAGTTGCAAACAACGACAGGTCAAAGGTCAACAACAACCAATCAAGATCGAGGTTAGCAGAACAAGCTACAGGTCAAACGTGGAGAAATTCTAATGCTTCACTTCTATCTGAAGTTCGTGCTGATGATGTTGTTCAGAAGAACAATGAAAGCTCCACAACCAAAACAACCAGCTCAGAGAACGAAACACCACCACAATGATCGTCTTTATATTCCACTGTTTGCCAGTATCCAATTTTAATAAAAGTTTATAACTAAAAGATAATATCAAGGCAATCATTTCCAGATGGATAAATCTTAATCAAAACCGACCGATTCCTGTCCTTAACGTCATAAGACGGAAAAATACCAACACTTATGAATTAAATTCATGCTGGTTGCACATGTTAGTGACTATTTGTACTCAGTAACTCAGTGGATAACATTTGGACGTTTGAAGTAAACGATACTGAATTCCAGTCTTAATGTGATCATCTAAACTGGGATCCCTGTGTTTTTAGCTGACAAGTTTCAAGATACAGCAAAACACGCGTCCTGGACCCCACTATCCAACATCACTTATCGTCTCTAACCACTGATTATAGTGATCGCATTTACTTTTAAACAGAAACAGTTCATATCACTAAGTAAACTTGTTATCCTGCCTTCGTTTCACTATTTAGTATTCCCATCTAAACTGATCTGATGCTAGTTATCCATAGCGCATCAGTGTAGACTGTGATTGTGTGTAATACACGTATCTATGTTGTATATCACCCAGCATTATGAGAGAATACACCATAAGTCAGTAAATCTTAAATAATTCACTTTGGCTTCTTTTTTCTCGCAAATACCATTTACTAAACAATGTAATCGGAGTCCACTTATACTGATAGCTGTAATCCGAAATAATTGAAATTTTAATATCCCGACAAAGAATGACTTGGAAGGAATACTATGTCTGTCTGTCTGTCTGTCTCATTGATATACATACACTTCAATGTATTTTGACAGCAGGTTTTCTTTTTTGACGTCAATTAATACGATCTTTTAACAAGTAAACATTCACGTTTTATAACTTTATTCATATTGATATATTGTCATATTCTTTTTACTGAATCAATCATCAGGCGTATGACCTTCATTTAAAAACTACTCTAGAGAATTTTGAGTTTCAGTATCCTAAGACATCATCATCAGTGTTTTCGTCAATGTGATGTTGGCACCAAAAGCTGTTAACTATTAGCATAGAGACGAGCACACTTGTTTGATTATAAATTTCACTGTCATTTTATAAATTACTTAATTTTCTAGTATTTTTTGTTTCTGTTTTTATTTTTATTCATTCCACACTACAATAGTTTATGGCGTGATCTTTATTTACGTTGGGAATGGCGTTTACCTAAATATGATTTACAACGTGAAAATCATGCTTCCGATTATTTATCCGGTCTAACAACTTTACTTGATCATAATCGACTTTTAGAGGCTAGAATTGGTCAATTGAAAGAATTATTAAAGTGTAATAATGTACATCAAAAGAATAATTTATATAATTCAACAGATAAATCTATCATATCAAAGGTGGGCAGATAAGTGTTTTTTTCAATTTAGTAGTTATTTAATAATAATATTCTTCAATATAGAATTATGGAAATGGTTGAGTTCTTTTGAAATCATGAATTGATCACTATCAGGCCACCATTAGAAACCTGGAAGCACTGGACGGCCGTTTCGTTCTAGCATAGGTCTCAGCAGTGCGTATCCACGACCTCCGCTCGCGAACGCTTAACTTACAGGTCATTGAACCGGCATTCAACGATGTTAATGTCCAACTTTAATCAATCCAAGGTATTGCACAACCTAACAATCATCGATTCATGATTTCAATTATAATATTATTTATATGCACAAAATATTTTTGTTTGTAAATGGGAAAAGAATTAGTTTTTATGTTTTCATTCTATCGAATGTTTACTGGGAAAACGCTTTGCTGTGCAGATTGATCTATTAATTTTTCTCTGTCTTTTTGTTCGGTGTTGTGAAGTTCTCGTTCAAAAAGCTATTTATTTCAAGACTATATAACATGTTTATATGTAGGTAGATATTGAATAATATAATAAACTAAGTAACTGATATTAATTCCAGGTTTTTCTCTATGCATTAAGTTGCCATAGCCTCCGTATAGAGTAGGGTTTTATTTATTCTGAATCAAATTCACTGGAGCTCAGTTTTCGCTTTCAAGTCAATAAGTTTGTCTCGTATATAAACCAGTCTTTAAATAAAAGCAATGATTCAATCTATGTGAATAAAATCATTCATTCTCGTCAACACTGTCTGAAATGAAACGAGCCAGGAAACCTTATCTGTTTTTCATCTCTTTCTGTTTGATTCCTTTTTTTGGACGGCAGTTCAATTTTCGATTGTTTTTTTTATGCAAAAAAAAACAGTTGATATTTCCTATTTGTTTTATTTTACTTCACCTACGTTATTTCCTATTATGTTTTTCTTAAACCAAAAAAAATTCAAAGCATGTGAACAACGACGGAAATGGACAAACAATGGTAGACACTGTTTCAAATTCGTTTCATTCTCATATTCTTATGAAACAAAATTCAGTAACAAGTAAATAAACAAACATTATTTAAAGTTGATATTATTATTATTATTATTATTATTATTATTATTATTATTTAGTTAAATTGATTAATTATTTTTGAGAGTAAAAAAAAAATAGTTGTTTTTTTTTGAGTTACATTTAAAATCAGTAAGCATTTAATGATAGTCTGTAAACTACTCATAAGATTGAGCATTCATAACTGAATATTGACAAGAAACGACCGGTGGTGTTTGAGCAAGGTGTAATTACATACACTGTTGAATTTAATCTTTATATTTAAAATATATCAGTACTTAACTTTCAACTGATTTAATAATATAAAATACACAAACTCCATTAATTGACATTAATGTATTTTCGTTCATTTTGTAATGTCAATTCAATGAATTCAACTCACTGAGACTAACTTTTCTTTCAAATTTCTTGAAAATATATTTGCGTAATGATCGTTAAATTATTTAAGAATAATTTTCTGTTGATTGAAAATGAGCATAAAATATTATGGACATTATTTGTGTATTGATGATAGATAATATGAAATGCAGTTGGATTATAGGCATCTTTAAAGTATTGCCTATTCGGTTGTGAAACAAACAAATAAACAATAATGAAGTTTATAGAGGATAGTAGGTGTAGATGACAAATTAGTGTCTAGTCTTCATCGCTTATGAAGTGGTTAGAATATATATATATATATATCGTGTGTGTGTGTGTTATGTATACTGTCTAGACGAGTAATGTTTGCTAGTAAAGGAAGTAGATTGAGAGAAAGTTAGTGATGGTCAAACAGACATGATATCACTTCGTAATATCAATAACTATTGAACTGCAAGGAGGTGATAGTTTTGATCAAAACTTAGAGACAATGAGTGATATTGGTCGAAATTGGTCAATGTAGCATTGATTCCATTCATTCTTTACCTGATTTTCGATCTTGCATTCCAGTATTCCTTCATACCCACACCTTTTCATTGGGTCTTTTCGAACTATATTCTGATTGTTCACGATTTCATGTTATAATTACTACCCCAGGGACTGATTATTCATGTATTTCTCTCGAATCCTAATCTTCTTCTACCATATCTACCACTCTGGGATTTGAACCGCCAATCGCATCTCTGCTCATGTGGTATAGCAACTTGAACTGACGTACGTACATACCAAGTTCTACATTGTTTCTGTCTGGCTGATTCATGTATTTCACCTGCTCAATAGAGTGCTTTGTACCCTACTGAAGAATATTTTGTGTATTACCGTTGACACAGACAATACTGAGGGGGGGGGAAGTCTAATAGTGATTAAAAAATCAAGTACACTTAGATTTAATTTTCTTATTAATTTCGATCGTTCTCAGTTCTATAATCTATTCTATTACTGTTAAGATACATTTTATATCTATATGACCTATAAACCCTTTGACTCTTCTGGCTAATATTTTAACAGTATGATGGGCAAGTCGACTAATAATATGCTTTTCTCCACTCCAATTGATCAAGCTAGAAATTTATCATTTTCCTAAAGGTCTGCTAGGTTATCACATTCTTCGGTAATCAATCGTACGAGAATATCCTTTATTTCTACCTAATTTCTAGTGTACGCAATGAAAAAGCTGAGAATATTGTGCGAATTTGAGATTTTAGTCAAAGATTTATTAGACTTTAATTTATCACTAGTCTAATCATTATTTAATTATTTTGTCTTTTTGTATAGCACACAGCTATGAATACACTTACATATGAACACTATACATTATTATGTAGTATGTTGTGACTTGATACAGTGATTAATATCACGTGTTGAATCAATCAATCAGAATCCTGATTACAGTTTTTCTGTTTCAGCTCTATGTTTCCATTTATCGCTTTGCGTCCTGACCTACACAGTCAACTTTAAGCAATTGTAAGCTGCACTCTTATTGGTCCCATATATTTGCGAGCATTTCTATATCAACACCCCTCTGAGCCTAAAATCAATTAAGCAGTTAAACTTCAGCTGCTATATTTCAATCACCCGGCCCAGACTATAACTATCTGAAAAACTATTACACCGCTCAACACACCAAATTAAAAATCAAGCTTTAAGCAAAATTATGTCATAAATGGCAGAGAACTAAGTGAACAATTCAAAACTAATGAGCAATAACTGCAAGTTGTTGAAACGCATAACAATAGTTAGTAGGTAGGTCCATTGGAAACTTACAGTGAGGAGAATATGGAAATACAACAGTGCCAGTTATTCAATAATTCATACAATAAAAATTTAGGTAAAAATAATCTGAGAGATGACTCTAAAAGACGCCAACATTTTTTGCAATATTCATCTCGTTTTAACATATTAGTAGTACTAAACTAAATTTTTTTTTAAATTCCCTTTTTCATTTCGAACAAAAAAAACCCAAATTTTTTAGATGATCAAAAACAACTATCTCAACCCACTGTTGAACAGTTAAAATGTGAAATGAGTATCATCAATGTGAACTGGGCTCCTTGTTTAAAATCAGGAAGTTTATGCTGTGTATGTAGTAGTCTGTTAGCTTTATCAAATCAATCCGTAAGTATGTCATAAAAACTATAACCTGTTACACAAATGTCTGTGCCATCATTGTTTATTTATATAAATTGGTTTTGATAAATTAATCTTATCTACTAACTAACTACTCACCTATCACGGAATTTAATCGCCAAAAAAAACAATCATCAAAAAGTACCATCCTATTAGTCCGTATAATGCTCTCCTACTCCTGTCTTTTTTTTTGAGAAACAAAAATGTAATTACCATGAAATTAATGCCTCAAATATATTCAGAGATGAAAAGAGTTATGCGAAGAACTATACTAATTGTAAACATTTATGGTTAAATCACATATGATATGCTTCGCCAATCAGGCATATAAGTCAAATAATAAAATCACACTATTGTCTGAGACTAGGTTTCCTTTTGCCAAAGTACAAACCATTTGTTTAAAGTATCACCTTATTTTTAAAATAAATGTTTAAGTCAATAAAACTTACTTCCCACTCAACTAGCCGGTTCGGGCTGCTATGATAGGAAGCTTGTACATCAAAATCGAAATTGAACATTGAACAAAATAACGAAGTGCTTATAAAAAAAACGAATTTTTCGTTACATATTTTGTTATCATAATTTTTATTATGATCATGTTTGTAATATTCATGTGAACAATTAAATAAACAGTCAAACGTCTACCAAGCAACATGTCGATAAAACCAAATGTTATTCAATCATGAAGAAATTCCAACAACTCATCTCTTTATCATCAATGTGCTGATTTATCTTGTCAAAAAACAGATAATTGAAGCTTCTTTAATAAACTATTCAATAATAATGAGGATACAACACACCTGCATGAGCGCATGATTTAATTGTTAGTAATTTCTTTCTTCTTCCATATCAGTGGTGAGGTTCTATTGATTCAACAGTTGTAGATTCATGTAACGCTAAGTAAACGTTTAATAACAATTTCCTCTTTCTAATTAAATCCCAAATGTTCACCATAATTCAGTCAACCTTAGGTTTTCGAACTCATCTGTCAATGGTTTCATGTTTACTACAATGTTTGGGAAAATATCTTCGATAATGCGCTACTTCTTTCCTAAGCTAGACTGGTGGTCACACATCACCAAAAAACACACTATGAAGGTGCCACTAATTTCATGATAGAAATTTAATTTCACTATTGTGAAGTTTTGTAAAGTAAAATAACATTTATGGTCAATAATATACGTTGATCTTGATGAATGTTTGTTTTCTTTTCTGCAAAAACTAATCTCATAGGTGCATTGTCACTCATGTGGTCTGCTTACATGCTCCCGGTGTATTCATCCAAACCCACCAATAATTCCAAGTTTATGGTCAACTGAACAGAAGTTTGTACAGCTTTGTAATTCATGCGTCACTCATTTACGCGACACTTATAATTATAATAATAACAACAACAGTAGTAGCACTGGTAATAGTGGTTGTTCTCTTGTAAAACATTTTACTCAACTAAAATCACTCCAAATTCCTGCTGCTGCTGCTGCTACTACCAGAGTAAATAACGTCTGTCCATCTTCAACAGACAGACGTACTTCGTGATCAACAAATTTGTTTGATTGATTTATCGATTGATAACCAACTCGATATTGATTTGTGTTGTGCATTTGGTTAGCACAAAATTTTGTGTCATTCTCTTTCTTCAGCCATGATTATTTGATACTACACTTGAAGAACTGACAAAATAATGTGAGAACTTTCATTGAAAATGAACGATCTGTGATTCAACTGCTTTTCTTTTACTGTATATATGACCAACATCATCATCATGTTTGATGTAGCCAATCAGGTTCATGTCTTTTTTTGTGTATTTATTATTTCATAACACCAACAACTAATTCATTTTGTTGTTTGTTTATGATTGGTGTCCTGTTTTTGCCAGAAAATTATATCATGTGAACAATTGATCTTTCCCACTTTCATCTTCTTCTACCCACTCACTTTAGCAATTGGTCCAGTGAATTGTTTTTTTTGTTAGACTCTTCTTTTTTAATCCTATCTCCTTTTCACTTGGTTATTTTTACTTCTTAAACATTTTGCTGAAAATCCTCCAGGACTTTAAATATAGTATTTTGGTGATTTTTTAAAATTATCTCTGATTTGTGAATGAGGCATAGAGTGAGGAATCGGGAATAAAATTCATGGTTAGAAGTTAAGGTTTGAAATTAAAGTTAGTGTTTTCATCATAAACTGATACCAGCTTTAGTGCTGCAATGCCATTCAGTCATATGCATAAAGACTTTGTCTTAAATGTTATTAGTTCGCCCATAGCTTATAGTCTCATCGCTCTCAGTTTTGGGGTACACACACTTCAAATGCATATGTTATGTTCGTCGTTAAGCAGCTGATGACGGGCTAATTTCAAACTCGAAAGGAGAACAATGTAGGATTTTCGTTGCATAACGTTAGATTCACCACAATAAAGCACCCGAAGTCGATGAAGTAAAAAGCTCTTCGAGTATTCGGAATACTTATTTGGAACAGTGAAAGAAATATCGTATGTGGTTCTGCAACAAACAATTATTAATTTACTAGTTACTTACATTCAAGGTGATTAAGCAACAACAACAACAACAACAACAAATTATCACAACGATCCGTGTCTCACACACCAAGCGAATAGAATGCCAAACCAAATGGCTGACCAAACAGTCAATGTTTCGACCAATAGAAAACAACTTCTAGATTGTTCGATCATACTGACCAATAAAATGCAAGTTACAAATTATATAGTAAACACTCAACTACTCATGAGTAGTAAAACCATTACAACTAAATCCAACACTGCCCCCTCAGGTTGAAGAATCCCTAGACACCGATTCTTTCCTTTGTGTCTTTAGCCGATTTGCGGCACGTAGGGGCTACCCACAACGCCTGTATAGTGACAACGGCAGCAACTTTAAAGGTGCAGAAAGGGCAATAAACTGTTTAATGAGAGCTGGGAACCAAGAAAAAATATCGAAAAACCTTGCCGCTCACAATTGTGATTGGATATTTAACCCTCCAAAGGCTTATCATCGAGGAGGAATATGGGAGCGGATCATCAAAACTATTAAAAGAATATTAGTAGTTGTTCTCGACGAACAACCGGTCACCGATGAGGTATTACATACGACTCCAGTGGAGATAGAGAGGATTTTAAACAACCGGCCTATAGTGAAGATGGTAGAAGATGTCGATGGAATACAAGCGCTTTCACCTAGCATGTTACTATTGCCTAGAGCAAGCGAACCAGCTAGCATCGATGAAAAGGACTATACAACAAAATACAATAGAAGATGGCGACAAACATTGTACTTGGTTGATCTTTTTTGGAAAAGGTGGTTGAAGCTATATATCCCAACGCTACAGTTAACGCAACGATAGCACGATCCTAAGCCTAATTTGAAGGTTGGGGACTTAGTATTGATGATAGAGTCTGCACGATCGAGAGGGCAATGGCCGAAGGTGGTCGTCACAGACATACAGGAGGGTACCGACGGCTTAGTTCGGAAGGTGACGTTAAGAACAGCTAAGGAGATTTGACGGAAACCCAAAGGAGTATTGGATATTCACGAAAGAGTTTCAGAAAGTTGTAGAACAAGCGACAACCGACGACGCCATACGTTTGAATTACTTAATCCAATTTTGCACAGGTAAGGCGAGAGACTCTATAGAACATTGTACTACAATGAATGGCACAGATGGCTTTATAATGGCTAAAGATATCTTAAAAAGGAAATTTGGTCAGAATTACATGGTGGCTAGGGCCTTTATAGATGAAATAATTGACGGGCCACCAGTTAAGAACGACGACTCGGCGGCATTGGCTGACCTTAGTCAAAAAATGCAAACATGCGTCGTGACGTTAAAACAGTTAGGTTACCAGTCCGATTTAAATGCAAGCAGAACGCTAGAAGCTATTGTGGCGAGGTTGCCTTCGAATCTCCGGTTTAAATGGGCGGAAACAGCGGTAGATTATATGAAACAAGACGCAGAGCCTACCTTTGAGGACTTAGCTAGGTTTATCGAGGAACGTGTCAACATAATGTGTACGAGATATGGAGAACTCGCAGCGAATTTAAAGTCAGATAAACGAGTCCGGAACATTGTTTCTTCTCAACCACCGAGTACAAAAAAGAACGTGTTTACATTGCAGCACTCGCCTTCAAGTCAACGTCAAGAAAGGTATTTAGTGTGTATCTTATGTAAAGACAACCACTTTCTAGACCAGTGTCCAACGTTGCTATCCCTTGAAGTAGATAAAAGGTTAGATCTAATCAACGATAAAAGGTTATGCCGATTATGTTTAAAGACTAATCATATAGCTAAGGATTGTAGATTGCGCAGAGGATGTACCGTGGAGGGTTGTGGTGGTAGGCACCATACATTGTTGCATGTTACGACGGACGTCTCACTATCTAATGCGAATGTTGCTACTAATTACGTTTCAAATTCCCGAGCGGAAAATGAAGAACCTAAGGTGGCATTTGCAGTGGTCCCAGTAATTCTCCGCAATCGTGACCGTACGGTAGAAACTTTAGCATTCTTGGATAGCGGCTCTGACTCGACATTGGTACTTAAGGATATTGTCGACGATTTAAAATTACCTATGGAATATGCCCGTGTTCGGATAGAGACTATGAATGGTTACAGAGAGATGCGGTACAACTAGAAGTTAGCTCACACGAATCTGATGAGTCAATTCGGATAGAAAGAGCATATGTTGTTCCCAGTTTGCCTAAGATTAAGCGAGTGGTACCAGAGGAGAAGCAGCTTCGATTGTGGCAACATCTGCAGGGAATAGACCTGAGGAGATGTGAAAGTAAGCGAATAGGACTACTGGTTGGCTGCAATGTTCCTGAAGCACATAGAAATTTAGAACAAAGGTTAGGAAGACCAGAGGAACCGTACGCGATAAAGACCATATTTGGTTGGACACCGATAGGACCCCTTGGTACTCATGTCACAAGTCACATAAAGCCAAATCATCTCAGTCTCTCAGAAATTGAAAGTACTCTTGAAAGATTCTACCAGCAAGACCTGTTAGAGGAAAGTCAGTCTAAAGATAAAGACTTATCGATTGAAGATAGAACCGCACTCAGAATCATGGAGAAGTCTATCACGTTAAAGGATTGTCATTATTGTATATCACTCCCGTGGAAAGATTCACAGTTAGAATGGACGGATAATAAGTCGTATTGTTTGCATCGTCTGAACGCTTTACGCAAACGACTGTGTACCTCTAAAGATTTAGCTAGACGCTATGCGGATGCAATGAAAGATTACCTTATAAAGGGATATGCAGAAATTGCGCCACCGTTAAATGATAACTCTAACGTATGGTACTTACCGCATCACCCTGTCGTCCATCCAGCGAAACCAGAGAAAATTAGAATAGTATTCGATTGCGCTGCTAAACATGAAGGACGATCATTAAACGACAGGTTACTCTCTGGTCCGGATCTCACTAATTCGTTATTGGGTGTAATTCTTAGGTTAAGACAAGAAAGGGTAGCAGTAATGGCTGACATCGAAGCAATGTTCCACCAGGTTAAAGTACCCGAAGCGATAGAGACGCTCTGCGTTTTTTATGGTGGACGAACGGAGATTTCACCGACAGCCCTGAAGAACTTCGCATGACAGTCCACCTATTTGGAGCAACCTCTTCTCCTAGTTGCGCTACGTTTGCTCTTAATCGTACCATCAAAGATAACAAGGAAAACTATGACAAGGAAGTTTACGACATGGCTACACGTAGTTTCTACGTAGACGATTGTTTAATTAGTACTCCCAATACTGAAACAAGTTATCGAGTAGCAACTCAGTTGAAAGATATGTTATCAAAAGGTGGATTCAACTTGAATAAGTGGATTACTAATGATTCAACATTAGCTCAGCTGCTACCTGAGTTTAATTGTATCGGGCCATGTGTACACATCGGGCACGGCGATCATAACACTTATCGAGCTTTGGGCATAAATTGGAATATACGCGATGATACCTTTCGTTTTTATGTCGGGATGGTAAATGAACCTGTTACACGTCGTAATGTATTATCATTTGTCGCCTCCATATTCGATCCCATGGGTTACCTAGCACCTGTTATTCTCCCAGCGAAACTTATCCTTCAGAAACTATGCAAAATGAAATTTTCTTGGGATGATTTAATAGTAGGAGAAGAATTAAAGGTTTGGAGAAAATGGCAAGGAAGTCTTACTCATATAGCAAAGATAGTTTTGCCTCGGTCATTAAATGCAGCCGAATGTACTGGAATCGAACTACATATGTTCAGCGATGCCTCTAATAATGGATACGGAGCAGCAGGGTATTTGCTACTACTGAAATAGCAAAGTGTTAAAGAATGTCGACTGATATTCGCTAAAGCTAAAGTAGCACCTATTAGGGCTACAAGTATACCACGTTTAGAATTGGCGGCAGCAGTTTTGTCTGTGAAAATCTCCAAGTTTATACGAACAGAGATGACTGTTACCATACTCAAAACGGTTTATTGGACTGACTCTCTCGTCGTACTCCATAGCATAAACAATGCTTCCAAGAGATTCCCTACGTTTTTTGCTAACAGGTTGGTCTATATACAGGAACAGACGAGGCCATCAGACTGATGTTACGTTAGTTTTAAGCTCAACCCAGCGGATCTGCTTTCCCGAGGGTTCATGGTAAACCAAGAACGAAAATTAAAACGATGGCTTAGTGGTCCAACATTTTTATTGCAGGGATATGTCCAGCAGGAACCACACCAGCACACTAATGCATGCTCCTATATAAACTATATGTTGTCAAATAAAGATTTATATCCAATCGAGAATCAACCTACGTTTCTGAATCGATTCGAAGCTGTGAATTCATGGATGAAATTACAACGAATGATAGCTTGGCTCCTACGTTATAAACAATTATTAATTTACTAGTTACTTACATTCAAGGTGATTAAGCAACAACAACAACAACAACAAATTATCACAACGATCCGTGTCTCACACACCAAGCGAATAGAATGCCAAACCAAATGGCTGACCAAACAGTCAATGTTTCGACCAATAGAAAACAACTTCTAGATTGTTCGATCATACTGACCAATAAAATGCAAGTTACAAATTATATAGTAAACACTCAACTACTCATGAGTAGTAAAACCATTACAACTAAATCCAACACTGCCCCCTCAGGTTGAAGAATCCCTAGACACCGATTCTTTCCTTTGTGTCTTTAGCCGATTTGCGGCACGTAGGGGCTACCCACAACGCCTGTATAGTGACAACGGCAGCAACTTTAAAGGTGCAGAAAGGGCAATAAACTGTTTAATGAGAGCTGGGAACCAAGAAAAAATATCGAAAAACCTTGCCGCTCACAATTGTGATTGGATATTTAACCCTCCAAAGGCTTATCATCGAGGAGGAATATGGGAGCGGATCATCAAAACTATTAAAAGAATATTAGTAGTTGTTCTCGACGAACAACCGGTCACCGATGAGGTATTACATACGACTCCAGTGGAGATAGAGAGGATTTTAAACAACCGGCCTATAGTGAAGATGGTAGAAGATGTCGATGGAATACAAGCGCTTTCACCTAGCATGTTACTATTGCCTAGAGCAAGCGAACCAGCTAGCATCGATGAAAAGGACTATACAACAAAATACAATAGAAGATGGCGACAAACATTGTACTTGGTTGATCTTTTTTGGAAAAGGTGGTTGAAGCTATATATCCCAACGCTACAGTTAACGCAACGATAGCACGATCCTAAGCCTAATTTGAAGGTTGGGGACTTAGTATTGATGATAGAGTCTGCACGATCGAGAGGGCAATGGCCGAAGGTGGTCGTCACAGACATACAGGAGGGTACCGACGGCTTAGTTCGGAAGGTGACGTTAAGAACAGCTAAGGAGATTTGACGGAAACCCAAAGGAGTATTGGATATTCACGAAAGAGTTTCAGAAAGTTGTAGAACAAGCGACAACCGACGACGCCATACGTTTGAATTACTTAATCCAATTTTGCACAGGTAAGGCGAGAGACTCTATAGAACATTGTACTACAATGAATGGCACAGATGGCTTTATAATGGCTAAAGATATCTTAAAAAGGAAATTTGGTCAGAATTACATGGTGGCTAGGGCCTTTATAGATGAAATAATTGACGGGCCACCAGTTAAGAACGACGACTCGGCGGCATTGGCTGACCTTAGTCAAAAAATGCAAACATGCGTCGTGACGTTAAAACAGTTAGGTTACCAGTCCGATTTAAATGCAAGCAGAACGCTAGAAGCTATTGTGGCGAGGTTGCCTTCGAATCTCCGGTTTAAATGGGCGGAAACAGCGGTAGATTATATGAAACAAGACGCAGAGCCTACCTTTGAGGACTTAGCTAGGTTTATCGAGGAACGTGTCAACATAATGTGTACGAGATATGGAGAACTCGCAGCGAATTTAAAGTCAGATAAACGAGTCCGGAACATTGTTTCTTCTCAACCACCGAGTACAAAAAAGAACGTGTTTACATTGCAGCACTCGCCTTCAAGTCAACGTCAAGAAAGGTATTTAGTGTGTATCTTATGTAAAGACAACCACTTTCTAGACCAGTGTCCAACGTTGCTATCCCTTGAAGTAGATAAAAGGTTAGATCTAATCAACGATAAAAGGTTATGCCGATTATGTTTAAAGACTAATCATATAGCTAAGGATTGTAGATTGCGCAGAGGATGTACCGTGGAGGGTTGTGGTGGTAGGCACCATACATTGTTGCATGTTACGACGGACGTCTCACTATCTAATGCGAATGTTGCTACTAATTACGTTTCAAATTCCCGAGCGGAAAATGAAGAACCTAAGGTGGCATTTGCAGTGGTCCCAGTAATTCTCCGCAATCGTGACCGTACGGTAGAAACTTTAGCATTCTTGGATAGCGGCTCTGACTCGACATTGGTACTTAAGGATATTGTCGACGATTTAAAATTACCTATGGAATATGCCCGTGTTCGGATAGAGACTATGAATGGTTACAGAGAGATGCGGTACAACTAGAAGTTAGCTCACACGAATCTGATGAGTCAATTCGGATAGAAAGAGCATATGTTGTTCCCAGTTTGCCTAAGATTAAGTGAGTGGTACCAGAGGAGAAGCAGCTTCGATTGTGGCAACATCTGCAGGGAATAGACCTGAGGAGATGTGAAAGTAAGCGAATAGGACTACTGGTTGGCTGCAATGTTCCTGAAGCACATAGAAATTTAGAACAAAGGTTAGGAAGACCAGAGGAACCGTACGCGATAAAGACCATATTTGGTTGGACACCGATAGGACCCCTTGGTACTCATGTCACAAGTCACATAAAGCCAAATCATCTCAGTCTCTCAGAAATTGAAAGTACTCTTGAAAGATTCTACCAGCAAGACCTGTTAGAGGAAAGTCAGTCTAAAGATAAAGACTTATCGATTGAAGATAGAACCGCACTCAGAATCATGGAGAAGTCTATCACGTTAAAGGATTGTCATTATTGTATATCACTCCCGTGGAAAGATTCACAGTTAGAATGGACGGATAATAAGTCGTATTGTTTGCATCGTCTGAACGCTTTACGCAAACGACTGTGTACCTCTAAAGATTTAGCTAGACGCTATGCGGATGCAATGAAAGATTACCTTATAAAGGGATATGCAGAAATTGCGCCACCGTTAAATGATAACTCTAACGTATGGTACTTACCGCATCACCCTGTCGTCCATCCAGCGAAACCAGAGAAAATTAGAATAGTATTCGATTGCGCTGCTAAACATGAAGGACGATCATTAAACGACAGGTTACTCTCTGGTCCGGATCTCACTAATTCGTTATTGGGTGTAATTCTTAGGTTAAGACAAGAAAGGGTAGCAGTAATGGCTGACATCGAAGCAATGTTCCACCAGGTTAAAGTACCCGAAGCGATAGAGACGCTCTGCGTTTTTTATGGTGGACGAACGGAGATTTCACCGACAGCCCTGAAGAACTTCGCATGACAGTCCACCTATTTGGAGCAACCTCTTCTCCTAGTTGCGCTACGTTTGCTCTTAATCGTACCATCAAAGATAACAAGGAAAACTATGACAAGGAAGTTTACGACATGGCTACACGTAGTTTCTACGTAGACGATTGTTTAATTAGTACTCCCAATACTGAAACAAGTTATCGAGTAGCAACTCAGTTGAAAGATATGTTATCAAAAGGTGGATTCAACTTGAATAAGTGGATTACTAATGATTCAACATTAGCTCAGCTGTTACCTGAGTTTAATTGTATCGGGCCATGTGTACACATCGGGCACGGCGATCATAACACTTATCGAGCTTTGGGCATAAATTGGAATATACGCGATGATACCTTTCGTTTTTATGTCGGGATGGTAAATGAACCTGTTACACGTCGTAATGTATTATCATTTGTCGCCTCCATATTCGATCCCATGGGTTACCTAGCACCTGTTATTCTCCCAGCGAAACTTATCCTTCAGAAACTATGCAAAATGAAATTTTCTTGGGATGATTTAATAGTAGGAGAAGAATTAAAGGTTTGGAGAAAATGGCAAGGAAGTCTTACTCATATAGCAAAGATAGTTTTGCCTCGGTCATTAAATGCAGCCGAATGTACTGGAATCGAACTACATATGTTCAGCGATGCCTCTAATAATGGATACGGAGCAGCAGGGTATTTGCTACTACTGAAATAGCAAAGTGTTAAAGAATGTCGACTGATATTCGCTAAAGCTAAAGTAGCACCTATTAGGGCTACAAGTATACCACGTTTAGAATTGGCGGCAGCAGTTTTGTCTGTGAAAATCTCCAAGTTTATACGAACAGAGATGACTGTTACCATACTCAAAACGGTTTATTGGACTGACTCTCTCGTCGTACTCCATAGCATAAACAATGCTTCCAAGAGATTCCCTACGTTTTTTGCTAACAGGTTGGTCTATATACAGGAACAGACGAGCCCAGACAAGCATTTAGCTTCGTTATATTTTAAGTCGTGATTATTTAACATTGAAAGGTGCAGTATATTTAACTCTTATTTACAATGTTTGTTTTTTTAAGACTAGAGTAATTAATCGCTTAAAAATTCATTAATAGGGAATTGTTTATAATTTGTGTGTACGTTTTCAATGTACTTCAAAATGTTATTTCCCTGGAAATTCAGCAACTATATCTCCATCCATTAGAACAAGATGAGCTCAAATGCTATCAAGTATGTGAGCAGTTTTAACTTCCTTGTTCTCACAAATTTTGGGGGACCTGGGAAGACCTATGAGCATGAACACATTCCAAGGGATAACTACTCTAGGCTAGTTACACAGTATTTTTGTATCTCTGGTGGATTAGCTGGATACTTCTCCGGGTTAACCATCAAATACAAATAGGACATGTTGGGGTGTACTGTTTTCAGAGTCGGTATTTCTTGACGCCGTACACTGATAATATAATATATCGTCACACTAGGTGATTGCGTTCGGCTTACTGATATTCAGATTAAAAAGACTTTAACCATCTCATTTTAGACCAGATCAACGCTGAACACAGTACACATGTTTTTCAGTGTTTAGAGGTGGTGATCAGCAGGAATTTTCGGACATAGGTTCGTATTGACTTTCGGTTGTTAATATATATGATACTTCCTGAAGCATTCACACTGGCTGTCACAGTCAGAAGGATTTCACTATTAAGATGTTCGAGGCCCAAATGGTCTCTTTTAGGACTGAACTGTTCTTTATGGTCGTATTGTGTTCGATTTAGAAATTTCTTATAAATCCAAAACTATGAATGATAATAGCTCTGATTTTTGAATATCATTATCGAAGTTTGATGATTTCATCAGATTGAGCTTTTGACTGTCACAGATACAAATCTCTATTAGTGTGAGTTGTTTGTAAAGACGTAAATTTAAAGTTCCATATCACGAACCACTAATAACTAGAAAGTACTGAAAAATTGTTTTATCCTTAAACTACCACTCAGTGGTACACTCCGTGGGATCTTACGTTTTTGGCTTAATTTCTGGTAAAGATGTGGATCCACACTGCTTAGGGGTTTCACACTAGGACGAAACGGCTTTAAGTAGTGCTCCACAAACCTTTGTGATAAAACAAAGTAAATTAAAGTTTATGTAAACCATCGCTAGAAAACAAGAATAGATTTTGTATCACTAAAATCACTTTCATAATGATGCATTTAATCCATTCTTATTGTTATTTTTTTTTTTTAAAATTCATTCAGTCATGATGGTTATATTCAATTGTTTCTTTAATTCCTTATTTTTGCTTCATTTATTTCAGTTTGGGATTTGAATATGCCTCGTCGACCAGTTGAAACTTATCTAGTTCATGATTATTTTCGTACAAAATTATGTGCTTTATATGAAAACGATTGTATATTTGATAAATTCGAATGTCAATGGTCACCAAACGATGAGTAAGTGATAGAAAGTATTCATAACTATAATAATTTTAAAAGATGAATTTGACTGTATACTGACGATCGGTTTATGATAGTCTCGATGTAACTCATTTTTGTCACGTATGGATATTTGTGCTTGACTTCAAGTTATACACTAAGTGCGATAAGGGTCAATGATGTTACTCACTTATACAACATGAAAGTAGATGAAGAAAGTTGAAATTTGCGACTCAGTTGCTGAAGGTCAAACGCCTTAAACATGAACTTAAATCTGTTCGAGATCGCCTTGCCTACTTTGGTTCAAATAAGATAAGTAGTATATTTGACAGTAGCGCAATAATCCTAACCAAAGATTTTGTAAATGTATACTGAACAAAGATGGCAAGACCAGATGAAACAAGCGATTTGTTTAAAGAAGGTAGTTTACAAGACAAAATGTGTACGACTTATCATAAAACATCCATTTGTAAAACAGGCGTATCCTTGTTTGTTTTCTTTCATATGTCTTCTGTTCTTCAAAACATTGATCGCGCCATGCGTCTGGATCCGACATCTTTCGCTTCGTCCGTAAATTCAGGGCGACACTGGTGCATATCTTCTGTATACTACTCATATGCTTCGTTATAAGTAGTAGATACCACGTACATACGTAATTTATACGTTAAGGAATTGTAATTGAAGTTTTTACCTAGAGGTCGAATACATGTATATGTTAGTATTTATGCACTATACCTGTGCAATACATACCCTGGGTTCGATCCTTGGTGAAGTCATGGGTGCACACTGTTACTTGGTAGTCCTATATTAAAACAAAACAATCTGTTCCATGCTTTCTGATTTTTGTTGACTTTCCAAGATCAGCTTATGATGTAAATCACAGAGTTCATCAATCACCGAAGAAACCTTGTGAAAATGCTCAAAGATATTGCTAATCATGTATATTTTATATGAAGAACAACTAGTCCATCCTAGTTTCAGACTCCTTAAAGAATGAATACATTGATATCTGTTGAACTTCACTGAATTCAAGACTCACCGATCTTGTGGAGATCTCGTTATTTCACTTCTCTTGGTTGAAATTAGTCTACAATTATTATATGTTCTGTTCTCTGAGCTGGATGTTTTGGTTGTGGAGCTTTCATTGTTCTTCTGAACAACATCATCAGCACAAACTTCAGATAGAAGTGAAGCATTCGAATTTCTCCACATTTGACCTGTAGCTTGTTCTGCTAACCTCGATCTTGATTGGTTGCTGTTGACCTTTGACCTGTCGTTGTTTGCAACTTTGTTTTGATTGCATCCCCCTTTTGATCTGTTTCTTGATCCTATGTCCCCTATGATTTTTCTGATTAGTTGATAAATTGGGTCTATGTCGACAGCAACCAATCAAGATCGAGGTTAGCAGAACAAGCTACAGGTCAAATGTGGAGAAATTCGAATGCTTCACTTCTATCTGAAGTTTGTGCTGATGATGTTCAGAAGAACAATGAAAGCTCCACAACCAAAACACCCAGCTCAGAGAACCAAACACCACCACAATCATCCACCTGAGCTACAAATTTTCTCCACCATCTCATTATATTACTCTACAATAAGTGATATATGTCTCACTAATGACACAGGTTTTTCACTTCCAGTAACCACGGCTTTTGTTTAAGAATTCATCTTGAAGTTTTCATTTTTCTTGTTCATCATATAAATTTTTGGCTCAATGAATAAAATCAGTCATCTTCTAATCATCGATTCAAGAGTTCATAGCCATTCGCTTTATTGATTCCAGTTTATAAATAGCATAAAAACTTCATGTGAATTTACACCTTAATTATGCTCCAAAATACCTTTAATGTTGTACATGAACATACTATAAATCGTATCAGACATTTTATCTTCAGCAAAATAACAATCTTTAGTTTACAAGTTAATTAATTCACATAGTAGATAATTTAAAATAAATAATAATAACATTTATCAATATTATTTATGAAAAAGTTTTGCGAATAAAAAAGTTAATTAATTTATTATTATTATTATTATTATCATTCAGTCACTTATTTTCTTTATGTTGTATAAATTATATCACTAAATATAGAAGAAAAAACAATACTCATTTAATATTGCTCCTTTAATTGTTATGTATGGTTGAAATGATTAATGCTTAACTCCAATTGTCTAGTTTGTTTTTCACCTTGGAATAATCGACTGCTGTTTTGGCCAATCGAACTGTGGCATATATATAATTAATATGTATGAACATACCAGTTCGATAAAACTGTACTCATTCCCCTTCTTTATAAAACGACCAAATTCTGAGCAAAAATTTCAATCTTTTTTCACCCCACAATTGTACATTGATTTTGTGTTGGTGATCAAATGATATTTGTTAAAGTTATCTTCACGTAGTTCAAGTAAATTGTGCACAACAAATATGCTTGTGTAAGAAGCGTGAATTGTGCTGACAACAATTGCAGTGAGTTAATTTTACAAACTCAACGTTTCACGACACTATTGAGAAGAGATGTAGTGCTATTGATTTATTAGTTTGAACACTGTTTTTAAGCCTAAGTTGTGGTGCGCGCTACTTATAAGTACTATATGACGCGAGTGTAAACGTTATGTCTGGCAGCAGAAGATGGGGAAAGATCAAGAAAGGAAGAGAGGGAACACAATGGAATTTGTAGGAAACGCATGATTAGTGAAATTTCAGACAATGGATTGATGATGGATTGAAGATTTGCAAATTAACGGTTACGATATGGTTTTCCTATTTTACTGAGTAACTCTGTAATTTTCGTTAAATACAATTCGGTTGCCCTCACCTGTGTTCTCCTTCACTACAGTTTTATTTAACTTTGAGCCATATTGATTCTGAATATGCATAAGCTGCTATCTAAACCTATGTATAGGAGGTCAGATAAGAAAAACAGGGTTCGATCCCACAGTATCATGTGTTATAATAACAAATATTAAGTTAAATTTTATGTATTATATTAAATCACATTAAATCACTTTGCGTTGGAAAGGAATACCTACTCACAAACGGGTTTACTGTCTTATGCAAATTTTGTCTATATTCTGATCAATTCTCCAATACCAAGATAATGCTAATAATCGTAATTTTAGAAAGTACTCAAGTGCCATTGATTAGTTGTAGAAATCCAAAAATTTATTATTTCTATCATTTCGATAGTTACCAAAGTGAGTAATGTTGGTGAAATTGTTGAAAATGTAATAATCATAATTATTTCAAATATAATGTTCTACCTCTGTAACTCATCCCTTTTGACCACATGCTGATCATTGCGCTACACAGTCGAGTTGTACTGACTAGGATATCTTTGTTACTGTAGGTTCTAACTTCAAATACTAGACTAGTTGACAAGATTTTATTGAAATCATGGACCGATCAATGTTAGACTGCCAGTGAAAACCTAGAAGCACTGGATAACCATTGCTTCCTAGTATTAGGATTCGTCAGCGGTGCGCATACATGAATCCCTACGTGAGAACCCTAACGTGGATTTTCGGTTTATCGCTCTAATTCTTGACCTGCAGACCATTGAGCTGGCATTTAACAGTGTATACATTTGACGCCAACCAATCTAAATAATATGTGACTCAGAGAGTTCTCTTACGAAATCAGGCACTAGTGAGCATATGGTTATTTTCATTATAGGGTAGTAGAGATTGATTTGTTGAAATAAGATGAAAATAAATATATAAGCTGATAAGATGTTCAAAAGAGCAATCGCACTGCCATCTGTGGTTAAGGTTATAACTGACTAACTGATTCTAAATACACTATTAACGTTGATTAGTGGCAGCACTATCGAACGAGAAGGATTTTAACTAGAAATGCAGTGTTATGTAAATAAATGTGTGGTGTCGACTACCTTTTTCGGGCCCGTGAGACAATCGTAACCAGTGGTTAGCAAATTTGGACGACATGTCTGGAAATTGTTTACAATGGCGCAGATGCATCCATTCGTCGTCTTCTCTCATATTCTAATCTTCTGAATTCCTCATGACCTTTTTTTCAAATTTATTTCCCTAGATTATGCTTCTCGAATCACACCGTTGATCCTTAACATTTTCCATTACTGTTAATACTGCTATAACCTCTACTACTGTAGGGTTTAAACTGACAACTCCATTTCCCTATGCTAATGTAGTATAGCAACTTGAACTGATGTACGTACGTACCAAGTTCTGCATTGCAGCTGATTGGCATTTAGCTGCTCTGAGCTGAGGTAAATGTTGCGGGATTCGTACTTGTTACCTAATGCGGTCTGTCTCCATGCTTCAACCGCTGAATTTACCTATCTAGTCTAGTTCCATCTCGAACGTTTTGTCGTCATATGTAATGATCTTATTCACTGAATACACGTGGAAACTCAATGCTAAAGAACACTAGTCTACTACACTATCATGCATAAGTACAGTCAAATAGCTGAATATCTTATCCATTTCAACTCAACTATCAATATTATTTTTATTCATGTGGTGTTAGTAGTGGAATATACGAAGAAGTCAAGACCAGATGGAATATACATAAATATGGACAAGACAGTTTTTTGCGAAATATATACACACATAATAGTCTCCAATCACCCATTTTTAATACCAGAAGGTTATGGGCTATCTTCTTTTATATCTGTTCTGGTCCTCAAAAATACTCCGATTACACTGTGCATTTCGATCTCTTGACACTTCTATCTAGTAGCAACTTCTAGGTGATGTTCTGCTTCATATTACTTATAAGCCGCTTTTTAAGTAGCATCCACTACAGTAGTAATGATGATAAGGAGTAAAGAATAGTTTTTAATTTGTAAGAATAATTTCATCACAAATTAACGTATCAACTGCAGATGAATGTATGTATATGATGAGACTGGAACACCAGAAAAGTCCCAAATTTCCATTGATAAGTTTCCAACTAGTGCCTCCAAATATCTACAAACTAAACAGAAATCGATTCCTGTAACACAGTTTATTTCTATTGTGTTTTTTGTTGTTTTGGAGAAATCCTTTCAATATATTTATTTTCAAATTCGTGTTTCTACTCTTTACAGCATGGTTGTCACCGGTTCATACAATAATTATTTTCGTGTATTTGAACGCGGGACTTCAAAAGATCTACTGATGGAAGCATCTCGTGAAGCTATGGAAAATAGTGTATGCGGTAAATTAAAACCATGCCAAGTGGTGTGTGATGGAACTATCGGCGGTGGTGGAAGCAGTAGTGATACTTTCGCTCAATCATGGTCTGAAGGCAAAATCAATGTTGAATGTATGGATTTAACACGTAAACTGCTACATTTATCATGGCATCCACGTGAGCATACTTTAGCATTAGCTGGTACTAGTAGTCTTTACCTACTTGATTATTATCCAACTAATCATCATCATCGATCCAATCATCATGCAATCGAATCAGAACAAATTGATCACCTAATGAATGGTGATACTAACATTAGTAATAATAATAATGACAATGATAATAATAATAATAATATGACTTCTACACCGTCTAATTAAAAAAACAAATGTAACATACTGAAAATTATACTTCTTCTTTTGTTTCTTTTCTTAACTCCTTTCCTCTTGAACGCATATATATATATATATGTTCGTACAGAAACATTTTTTTTCCATCTCCTTCTTTAACTCTGTGTATATTTATCTATCATTGATGTATGGTTGTAAGTATTTCAACGAAATGTATATTCATATATTTTTTCTTTCTCCAAAAATTGTATTTACCGTTTATATTATTAAATTGCATTTTAAAATTTAGAAAAAGTATAAATTTATCTGATTTTTAAGTATGTACATTTCAAGTGTTTGTATGTGTTTTTTTAGGGTTAACCACTAATGAGTAGTAGTAGTAGTTTACTTGTAAATGAGAACTTAATGCTGAACGTTTTACATGTGTGATTAGGCAGCAACAGTAGGTTTTATTTCATATTGTCAAAATGTAGTAAACAATTTTTCACACAGAGACGAAACTTCCTATTTGCTACATTATTTTTGTGTTAAAGCAAGCATTCTCTGAATCTTTCTCTCTTTCCTATTATCTCGTCTCAGTTTATAATTATTTTTCATTTTATTACACCTCACTTCAGATGATGTATTGGCTGTACACACACACACACACATATACATAACCAATTGTACTAACCTTTCTTACTTTTGTTGTATTCTATCTTTAACTTATCATTAATCTGCCTTGATTTCGGGTTGGTGAACATGAAGCATTAGTTAAACGGGCGTCCACAGATGCGCGCACACACACAGTTGTAGATTTCAATATATTCAAGTAGCTACTATCAATAGTTGTTTCTCATAACCGTAAGTCTCTTTCTCCGTCGAATCGCCTATCTGGGAATATTTTTTCTCTTATGCGAATAATGCTTTTTTCTTCAAACAAATTTCTTCAAAAGTGCTCAGCTTGTATTTTTTGTTTGACCTCCTATTACTCAGGTGTTTTTCGTTTTATGTTTTGCTCTTCGTGTCTTCTATTGTTGCAGTATACTCCCATGTTATTTCTAAAATAATGGAAACATTTTCAGCACTTGTACGTGTGAGGATACATAGATATATGTACTCCGGTACTTTAAATGCTTTTTTTCTCTTTCAATTATATATTGTAAATTCTTCATACATGCGTTTTGCATCCATCTTACTCTTGACATTATGGTAATAATGATAAGTACAAAGACAAGTTACTACTAATCGATCTCCCTCAAATTTTCTTGCCAAATAAAAAAAGATTCATTAATATTGATTTCTCTACTACTTTGCATGGACTTATCGGTTTGTAAAACTTTCTCAAAACGTGTTCTTCTCTACCATAGACATACTATTAGCTTATAACCTATGTGTTTCTGTGTGTGGATCGGTGGATAGGCATTCTTCATGCACACTACTGTAGGCTCCATCAAAACTTTGTTAAACTAACTGAATTTTCATGACTATAGTGCCAGGGTTAATGAATTGTGGAATGTTTCTTTTTTTAATTTTTATTTCCTTTCCAACTTATTGTTCATAAAGTCTTTTTTCTCTTTGTATGTGTGTGTGTGTGTGTGTAGTACACGAAACAGCGAAACTTTCTTCTGCAAACAAGAATTATGTTTTTATTATTTGTCTCTAACCAAGATGTATACTATTTTTTACACATTTATGTATTAATTATTGTTATTGATTATTCAACGGTCTATTGTTAAGTATTTAAAAATATATATACTTCTATAAATACTCTTACTATGTTATTCTCATCTCGATGATACCACAAATACAAGATGTTTAATTTTCCTTTATATATATATATATATATATATATATATATATATATATATATATATATATAGAGAGAGAGAGAGAGAGAGAGAGAGGTAGTTCGATTGCGGAGCTTTCATTGTTGTTTTGAACAGCATCATCACCGCTTAACTCGTGCAGAAATAGACTTTTTAGTTTGTCCAACTAGGATTGACTATTACTGGTTTCTTCATAGGTTTCATTCTCTTCAGCCATCTTTATATTTAAGTTGACTGCTTTTTTCCGGTGATCTTTGATCGTGTCATTGCTTGACTTTAAAAAATGTTTTTGTAGATCGGGTCTAAATCAGTTTTGAATAGTTACTGATCTGAATGTTATGCTTCAAGAAATTCTCCGACATTCTTTGAGTTTTCACTGTTCAGGTGTTTGACGTTCACGCAGTTGAATTTATTTCCGCGGTCATTTGTCAATCGGTTTTGTCTGTTACTCCTTGTGTGGCACAGGCCAGCTGTCAGGATTCTCCAACCCACTCTGCCTGGGCCATTTTCCAAATGTTCGTAAGTACTATTAATTCTCTTAGTTACTTTTTGATTTTATCTCTTCTGTTTTTATCTTGAGGATTTCGGATCAGTACTTGGCTTGCAACGCAGTTCTCTCACATGCACTACTATAGGTGATAGTATATCGTGTTGTTTCATCGACAGGTTTTTTTTCGTGTGCGCACGTGTAGAGATGGCATCCATTTCTACCAGTGCAGTATCTATCACAGTCGGTCTAATTCATTTTGTAGGTGATACTAGACTTGTCTTCTTTTGCTGTTATACTTTTTGGTCTACATAAAATCTGCTGAGGTGATTGTATTGGTTCATGAGCAATATTGATTCCAAAGAGTTTTAAGGCCCACATGATGCTTTCAGAGAAGTCTTTACACATATGACAAGATTATCCTTCTCCTAGTTTCTGAAGTTGATTTTATGATGGTAGGTTGTTAAATTGCTATACATTTTTCTATGAATTAAAGCATAGAATAATCAATTCTGTTCAGTCATATTAAGATATTTAAAAAGAATAACTCCTACTATTTAAACTGCAACTAAATATGGTAATAGATTTACATGAAGATATTTCATTTATAAATAAGTATATCTTATTTCTAAGTAGGTTGTTTATTCTACAAAACCTTATTGATTTTTCTGTAAGAATTTTTAAATATGTCATAACCTGTTAGAAAGTGTCACGTGAGTGTTTTAAACGTGATCATTCTTTTAAAACTGCAATACTCTTCTCTGTGTTTCATGTCAAGGTTATCGTGCATCACTATAAGCACACAACAAGTTCTATGATTTTTTTTTAACTGAAAATCAACCAATATCATAATTTTGAATGATCACTAACAGAATGATTTAGTTCAATAAAATATCAGTTTATCTAATTATCAGTGAGTGGAGGAAATTACCGTAATCTTAAATGTGTTATTGTTTGGCGCTGAAAAGTTGTAGTCCTTGAATAACCAAACATAACATACGTACCTGCAACGATGAATGCAATAATGCACTATACAAGCAAAGGAACTTTAACATGTTCGGTAAACTTGATTTATTTTTTTCAGAAAATCACACAAAAATCGATAAAGGTCCTGGATAAACAATTCTTTAAAACAATTAGTCCCTTTTATAAATTTTGAATAGCACAGTGAGAAGACGTTACTGATCTGAATAATGTGATGTATTTGCGCTATCCGCTAAAGTTCATCAATAGGTGTAGAAATCAGTTAAGACAAAAGCCAGTTTTTCATTCTGCTGAGAAGAAAAAGGTTTATAGCACTTTACCATATAGAGGTGAAGCAAATGGTCTAGTCTTAAGACAGAGCCTAAAAGCGGCCATAGAGAAAACATACAACTCTGCTAATCTGATTATCATTGAAAAGACTAAGCCCATGATTTCGCATAGACCTAAACGTTGCTCAAACGATTACATCACACCCGATTGCATTTATCAGTTTACATGTTTGTGTGGACACATAGGGAGGAGTAATCGGACTTTTTCGTAGAATTGATCTTTATCTTCGTCATTGTAGTCATTGGTAGGTGCATAGCACTGGATGACGTTCATTGTAATATCCTCTTTCTTTGTTTTGAAGGATGCTTTAATGATCTTGGGTCCATGAGATTCCCATCCTATCAGTGCCTTTTGTGCTTGTTTGGACAACATCAGTGAGACTCCTTGTGTGTATGCGAGGCACTTCGTTCTTCATGGTCGGAGTATAGCAACCGCTCTCCTGGAGCTAGTCTCAGTTGTCCTACCTGTGTCCAATCCGTTTCGGTGATTCCAAGCACCTCCAGGTTGTATCTTTTCATCTCTGCAGCAATTTAGAACAGTCTTTCGGTCTCTCACGTTATTCGAACATTATATGTACCTAAAAGAATGGTTGCTCTGGTTATCAGAAAAGGCATCGGCCTCGTGACTTCCGAAGGAACTCGGTTTTCATCATGAGACGTCATAACTCTTCTGAATGAAGAATTTCTAACCCTCAGGGCAGAGTTAAAATGATTTGAATTGATTTTTCGCAGTAGTGTGTTTTTAGCGAGTTAGTTTTCTACGGGATGGGGTCGCCAACCCCATGCTTAACTGTCCTCCTTAATCTGGGCTCGGGACCGGCATTTGCCCCGAAGGTTCTACAGACGGAGTTATTGAAGGACTTTACTTCCGTCATGTTTCAACACAATCAGCAGTAAAACCTCACTCTTAGGCCATAGGTTTGCCTCTCTTAATTTAACACCATTCTCTAACCGTCATGTCTTGTATGTTAGATCCTAAATGAACTAATGTTTGAACCAGTATAACTCGATTGAGTCATTTCTGAGCTCCTGAAGCTATGAAATAAGTCTGCTTAAAGATGATTAGAAAATTAGGTTGAAGCAAAGTGAGTAATCTTACTAAAATAAAGATAAACTATTTAAGAAATCGCAATTCAAAATAATCGCTCTTTTTATGTTGTTAGTAAATCAACTCTGGTGAATTTTAATAAACTAATGATCATTGCTATTTGGGATTTATGGAGTTCGTATTATTTTCACAGGCGATCTTAGCTGGATCCTCATTGAAAACCTTGAAGCACAGTGTTGCTTGTGAGACAGCTATTCGCTGCAGGCAATGAATGAAAAGTTCCCTAGGATCATGGGTTAATTGAGGTGAAACATTGATTCTG